TGCAAACATCGATGTCAAATGCATTAAAAATGAAGTTTTCTGCATGAAACTCTGTATTTTAACAATGAAATGGAGATCTTTTTTAAAGGTTAACACCTCATTTAATTTTATGTCTTATAGGGTTTATACTGAGTACAATATTGTGTAACTAAAATAATTCAACTGTAAACCTAAAAATGTACAGCCAATTTTGTACGAGATGCCTCCTAGCTCAGAAAATTGTTATTGAATATGTCAATGTTGATATAATGAAATGCTCCTTCTAAGTATGTGATTATTAAATAAATAATTTTAAAAAATACACATTGCAGTGGCTGGAACTATAACTCTGCTGGTAGAGTGTTTGCTTAACATGCATAAAGCCCTGGGATCAATCCTGAACACTAGTTGAGTTATAGTTGCACATACCTGTAATCCCAGCACTCAGAAGATGAAGGCAGGAGGATCAGGAGTTCAAGGATATCTTTGGCTGCATAGTAAATTTGAGGTTAGCCTGGGCTGCATGAGACTGATTCTCAAAACATGCACATTGTGGTACTAGAAATGCAAGAGGAAAATGATGAAAAATACAAAAATATTTATTGATTTAAATAAATGATTACCTTTCATGTAATTTATTTCCATAAAGCAATATAAAATATATTGGTAAGGGGCATTTTATGATAAAAATATTTTCATAATTTGTTTGATAAATCACAAAATATTAGATAAGAAACTGCATACTCAATGATGTTATAATCTATATGCATATATAACTTATCCTTATTTCTGACTACATCTATTTAATGAAAAATAATTTTGCACTCATGCTTGTCAAACCTAGGGTTTGCACATGCTTGGCATGCACTGAGCCACATTTCCAGCCCAGTATAATTAAATATTCAAACAAACTAATTCTGTACATAAAACTTTCAGAAATTAAAAGAAACAAGTGCAGCCTAGAATTTTTACATCAGCTTTCCATGTCAGAAAAACAGTGATCATCACTTTTTAACACTTCCTTCACAACTGTACATAGGATACAGAATCATCACTGTAGCACAGAGATACCTGAAACACAGTGGTTCAAATGTCAGATTTTTTTTCCTCTCAAGAAAGAGTGTATTTCTCTTACAAAAAATAATCCATAAACAGATAGGGAATTATAGTCAAGCTGACCTGTGTTTTATAGTCAAATGACTTCTACTTTGTTGTTCTATACCCACTTAGGTTGTTCTTTGCTTGTTTGTTTGCTTGAAGCTTGAAGACAATATTATTAGATTTTAAAAAGAAAAACCCCAGGACAGGCAAGATGTAAATCTCTGCAGCTTCCCAGAGGAGGAGAACGGAGGAGAGAAGGAAAAAAAAAAGCCATGCTGTTTGAGTTCAGCAGGTATGAAGGTCAAATATATGGTGGACAATCAGCCACATGATGGGGAGAGGTGCTTTAGAGAAAGAGTACAGAATTCTAAAGCACCAGAGAAAACATACTTAGGCTTTGATCAGTATCCAAAAGAAAGAGACAGAAATGAAAAATCTCATGGGTGCTTGTAGGGACTGCCTAGATTGCTCTTTTACTTCATCTAAGTTTGAGAACACAGAAATAAGGATGTAGAAGGCACTAAACTTGTAAAAAACGGTAAATAAGTTTTGTACTCCACATTTGCCCATATTCCACTACAAAAAAAAGGACATGTAGGCATACTTGGCTGCAAGGGCGATTGCCTTAGTTTTCAGCTGATGATCAATAATTCTTTGAAAACTTCCAAGAGCGAAGTCCTATTATTTAGAAGAAGATAGAGGAAATTGATACTGGCACAATCAGCAGTCTTAGATACAATGAGAGATTGAGGAACCTTAGCAAAGTTAATCATCCAGAATACACTCACATACAAATAAGAATAGTACAAACCACAAATCTCCTATATTTATGGTTAAAAATTGATGAGGTGAATATCAGTGTGGAATAGAGTGAATCTGATTATCCAATATTTAACTAACAACTCATAGTTTAAGTCATGTGATTTTAATTTTGTGAGAGGGTTTTATGTATCACAGGCTGGTCTTTTTATCTCTGTGTAGCTGAGGATGACCATGAACCTCTAATCTTCTGATCCTCTTTCCTCTAAATGCAGAGTTCTGGGATTACAGGTATGTGCCTTCATGCCTGGGTTTATATGGTGCTAAGGAATGAGCCCAGGTCCTCATGAATGCTAGGTAAGCCTTCTTCCAACTGAACTACATCCCCAGCCTAATTTTGAAAACTTCTTTACAAAATGAATTTCTAGGAGTTTATATGTGAACTCAAATAGTAGATGAATATTTTCATGTACCTCTGTATAGAAATGTTGACATGCTTTAATACTATGGAAATAAGTGAAAAAAAAACTCCTTAAGATGACCTCCAGGCTTGGTGGTGTATAGCTGTAAACTCATCTTGAGAAGCAGAGGCAAGAGATTCAGTAGTTTAAGGTCAGCCTCTGCTACATAAGAATTTCGAGGTCAGCCTTTGGTACATGTGATCCTGTCTCAAAACCAAACCAAAAAAAAAAAAACACTCCTCAGGAGAATGCAGAGGGCATTTCCTGATTCATGTAATAAAGTACTTGCACAAAACCACTTTCAGACAATAAACATTATCAATATAGTCATCTAAAGCAGGAAGGAGGGTACCTCCTCCTCAAAGTACCCAGAGTAATTAATTGTTCTGGTTCCTTTGACAGGTCTCCTCCACACTTCTAATCCTAATTTTAGTTCTTGGTTATCCTTTGACTAGTCAATGTACTTGAAGCATTTTCTATTTGGGGCAACATATTTTCTCTTATAATCTATTGATCCAAACAGTCTACTCCTCCTTTTCACCCTTTCCCAAACCACCAACCAGAGAGAATATATTTCTCCGAAGTATAGGGGCCTTCTCTAAGAGAGTAGTACTGAACATCTGGAAAGTCCTCAAAATAACTATTGACTTATCATGCACAAAGGGAAGGCAGTCAAACATAGATGTTGGAAGGAAACATAGGGCAGATTGAGACAGGCCTCATTTAAAAACCTGGGTTGATTCTTATGCACGGCACTAACCAGATATAGGCCCTAGACATATTATATAAATATATCTGAAGGAGAAAGAGGGGGAATAGAAGAAATAATTCTAAGGAATTATCTGCCCTAGCAGTTTACGTGTAAGATGATAAACAGCTAAACTGGGAGAGTGCCAGATTCATCTGTCATGGCAAATACAAGGTTTACTGATTCTGTAAAGTATGAGAATCAGACTGGGCACTGAGGCAAGGTGACTAGAAAAATCCATAAGAAATATTGGGTTAATTAATGTCAATATCACAGAATGTCATCTAAAGATAATAGTATTAGCAGATGACTAAAAATTAAATTTAGTCCCTATAGACTTATAAACACCAAATAGCATCATCTAGACAAAAGGCAAAAATCTTTCCTGCAGCCACTGCTTAAAGCCCTGTAGCATGACATCTGTGTGTCATTCAAGATTTCATTTTGATTTTTACTTAGCAGAAAATATCCATCTAAGATAATAGTGCTACAGAAATGAGATAATCAAAAAGATTCTATCTAGCCTTTCACTGTTTAAAGTTTAATCGCTGTGCAGAGACGTAAAACTTCCATGTGTGGCTGTTTGGGTACTGACTGCAAAGAGTATGATTTTCTGGGGTAATGCAAAGTTTTCATACAGTAAAAATGTGATTCCATGAGGGTGTTTGTTTGTTAATAGTCATTACTCATTTGAAATGTAATTTACATATGTGTACAATTTATTGTATGCAAACCACATTTCTAAAAGTAAATGAGAAATAACTATTGACAAATGTATACCATTATGAAATCACTACATTTATTATATGCAACATTCTTCATGCCATAAGCCAGGAAAGCATGCTCTTTGCAATCAACACCCACCAAATCTGGGAAACCAGTACTGTAACTCTTGTTGCTATAGGCAGGGTTTTCTAGTAAAGTGGAATCTTACTGCCTATGGTCTGTCCCACCTGGCTTCATCTATGTTATCATCTACATCAGTAGTTTGTATTTGTTTGTTGTTCCACTATATGTGTTTAGTTATCTGTGATCATTAATACTGTCAGTTTCGCAGGATCTAGAATTACCTAGGAAGCAAGCGACTGGGCATGCCTGTGAGGGCTTATTCAGCTTAAATTAATTGAGGTGAAAAGACCCACCTTAATTAAGAACAGTACAATTCCCTCGGTTTGGGTCCTCGACTGCATAAAAAGGAGAAAGCTAACTGAGCAAGAGTATTCATCTCTTTCTGATCCTAACTGTGGATGCATTGTGAGCAGATGCTTTAAGCTACCTTGCTGCCATGCTTTCCACACCATGACAGTCTGCACCCCTGAACTGTGAGCCGAAATAAACCCTTCCTTTGTTGGTTTGCTTTTGTCGGGTATTTTGTCACAGCACTGAGTAAATAATACATACAATAGTAACTAATATATTTTATATTTCTGGATTACAATATATTAATACTTAGTGACCTGAAACAGCAAACTTTATCATCTCTGTTTCTGGGGACAAAGAAACTAGACAGTTTAAGTTGGATGGTTCAACCTCAGGATGTCTTGCAAGACTGAAATGAAGGTGTTGACAGGCTTCAGTGCGATACTGTCATTCGTTTAAAGGGAGATTCACTCCTTAAATGACAAAGTTGTTGGAAGGATTTAACTTCTAGAGCACTTTTGGACTCAGGGCCTCATTTCTTCTCTGGCTGCTCACTGGATGATTCCTCTACCACAACTAACATTCCTTTAAAATATGTGAAACAGAGCTCTATGCTTTTAAAAATCTCTTCTTTTGCCCACTTAACTTTTTTCTGGAATCATTTACATTAAACTTACTAGTGATGATTATACTCATAATAAGCCATAAGCATCCTAAAAAATTGATGAATTTTGCACAGCATCTTTTTCTTTGCTTATTTTTCAGGTAAACAAATCCATCTACCTAAGTACTATAATCCTTAGCAAGAAACGTTTGGTATGATGGGCGACAATTTCTATCTGTGACTGGTTTCCTCAACATGGCTGAATAATATCTAGGAAAACATAAACAGGGCAGAAATGTTTGGATAACACAAAAAACAATAATTCCAAATGAGGATATTTTTAAGTAGGATATTTTGGGTACAACATTCAAAGGAGTAAGAGAGTATGGCATAGCAAAAATTGTGAGCGAGTGTGCAATACTGAAATCAAGCTGGTAAATATTTGAGATTGACTCATGAGTTCTGAAAATCTAAGGGCAAGATATTGTGGGATTATAGACTTAGTGACCATGTAATAGAAAGCCTTCACATGCTCAGAAGTTACCCCAAAAGGGCAGGTTCCAACTGCACTGTGCATTTTGAACTTCTAAAAATGTGTCTGTCTGAAAGATCTATATTTATATTCTGACTTCATTAGCTGAAACAGGTGCCTGGGTCTTTTTATGTTCCTACTTTGGCTCTCTTTTTCGAATGTACACATCTTTACCATATTTCTAATTATGAAATTTTCATTCATGGTAAATGGAAAAATAAGAAAGTATCTGAACAAAATAAATATACAAACCCAATAGTTACCTTATTTTCTACTTCATCTCACTGACTTCCATTTGGTTTTAAATATTAGACTATAAGGAAAATCATATCTATTTCTGAAGTGGGTAGAGAAGACTTCTACTTTCCTGTTCTTGGTCAATAATAGGGTGAGTAATCTCGCGATACAACCACTAAAAAAGTAACAATGGTTAATATAATCATGGGAAGATGCAGCCCCTCCCTGGTAACCAGAGAAAGGTGCATTCCAAACATAAGGAGAAGGGGCCACTTTTGACCTCTGGAATTAGCAAAGACAAAATAATGAGTGACAGGGCCTGGTGTGGTGGGGGTGGGAGGTTAGTAGACAGGTCTACTTCTGTAGCACTGCTGGTGGGAGGGAAAAGTAGGGACCAGAGTTGGAGAATGACATAATCCTCACGTGATCAGAAACTGCCCTGAACCCAAGTACTTATATTTCCAGGTTTCTTGCTCTTCTGGGTACGAGCTCTTTGCTGCCCTGAAGACTTGTGGCCAAGGAGAGGAGGAGGTAACTTCCTTAAAGTCCCAGCAGATTGGTGTGCAGAAGTCACTGGGACCCCTAGGGTGACAGTGGCTGAGTGAGACTGGAATAGATCCAAGCTGGCTTTCCCGAAATCTCTGCAAATTGGGGATAGATAATAGTATATATTTTAAGGGTTTTTTTATTACATTTTTGTGTGTGCGTGTGCATGCGTGTGTGTTTGTGTGTGCATGTGACTATACCACAATGTGTGTGTGGAGGTCAGAAGACAACTTGCAGGAGCCAGTTCTTTCTTTCCACCATGTGAATCCCTAACTAAAGTTGTTGGGGTTGGCTAAAAGAGCCATTTTGCTGGTTCGATGATTGTGTCTTTTGGAAAAAAGAACTGTAGTAAGTTTTGTGAGACACAAAGCGATTTAGAGATAGTTGAAAAAGAATGGGCGTCTTTGGTCCTGGAAATCTTTATCATTTTCCTTGCCCTTCCCCAAATTGTTGGAGAAAAGGTGAGCCTTGAAATGTGAGTTAATGGATGGAGAAAGGCTGAAATCGTGTGGAGACAGTAGAAACTGAGAAAATGTTAAAATACTTTCCCTCTTTCAGTGCTAGTATGCAATGGTGAGGACAAAATGGGGAATGGGAGATGACAGATCCTTCAAAGACCACGTCGAATAGAGAAGAGTGGAAAATGAGCACAAACATCCCAGAAGAATAGATAGGAACAGGAAGGGAAGCAGGCAGTAGATGACTTGACCACAATCACAGTGATGAGAATCCCAGATTCTAGATAATGATGACTTGTGACTGGTCTCTGTGGTGGCTTGATTCACAGAGAATTCCCTCATCCCCACCCCATTGTTTTTGTTTGTAGGTCTCAGAGTCTGTGTTCACAGACACCCCCAGGCCAGAAAAAAAAAAAAAAGTGGGAAATTACTTGCAGTCCGCACAGGTTAGTGTGAGAGACTGGGATTTCTGAGGATGGGAGTTGGGAGGGGACAATACTGGTCCTTTGGAGAGGCCATACAGTTTGTCTGCTGGCAAAATGGTGTGCTTGGGGCTGAGAGGTTGGAACGATGAGGAAATTGAACAGGAAGCTGACGGAAAGCTGAGATGTTTTCATTGTCTCAAGACTGGAACTGCGAAGGGGACAGTTGTGGGAAAGTGGGCTGCTTGATTCAAAGAGAAATTGTTTCAAAAGTAATCCATCTCTTATGTTTTCTCTCTGAAGTTAAGCATAAAGCAACACCATGCAAAAATCCTGCAACGAAAATGAAGGAAAGCCCAAGTGCAGCGAGCATAAGAGGGAAGAGGAACGCCCAGGCGAAGCGTTTGAACGCCCTAATGGAGCGTTTGAACCTCAGCGAATGGAAGGGAATTTTAGGCAGAGGCTGCTTCAGTCTCTCGAAGAATTTAAAGAAGACATAGATTACAGGCATTTTAAGGGTGAAGAAATGACCAGAGAGGAAGATGAGATGGAAAGGTGTTTAGAAGAGATAAGAAGTCTGAGAAAAAAATTTAGGGCTCTGCATTCTAACCATGGCCATCCTCGGGACCATCCTTACCCTCTTTAATGTCACGTTCCTCAGAAATAATTGATTTTCTGTCATTAATATTGCCACTACTTTCTGTTTCTACATTTCTTGACAAATATTGGCTATCATCTTCACCTCCACCTCACTCATTTAATAAGAATTTTGTTCATTTACATTAGATCACGATTATTTCATAGTACATTGTAAACTGAAAACAACAATCTAAGAAACAGTATATATGCCTTAAATGTTCATTTATTCATGATAACATGCAAAACAAAATGTCTATTATACACCAATGGGATGAATGTCTGTATGATCTGTATTTCCTTTGCTTTTTGTACCTATATGCATCTTTTCATTTTCCAAAAGATAAATACATGTTTGTATCTCTATATTACCCAGGAGACACAAAAAAGGAAAACAAATAGACATCAGTGAAAGAGGCTTGTCAATCACTTTTGAAAGGCGGTGCAACAGTAATCTTTTAATAACAGAAGTGTAAGAAAAGCATGTAAACTGTAAATTACCTTCGGCTGTCTTAGCCAGAGGAATAAACTGACAATTATAAAATACACACATGTAAGGCTTGATCTTTTCCTGGGGAAAATATTTGCCTCACAGGGAACCTGGGTGGGAGAGCTGCTGTCTAGCAGAACCTCTGAGCTGTGTTTGGTGAGACCTTGTTTGCACCTGTGCATACAGACGCCCAGCGGGTGTGGAGCCAACTATTTGAAGGAGGATGTATTTCAGCATGTGCTCAGAAACAAGGCCAGTAGGCAAAAGTCAGGCCTTTCCTGTCCGTCCTCAGCTTTTGAGCCTGACCTTTGTGTCTACCAGATGCTGTTTTGGTCTTTTGCTGACTAGTAATATCCCTTCTGCTACTAATATACTAGGGGCCTTAAGTATCACAATCTCACTACGTTTCCTGGAGTTTCCAGTGACTTGATCTCTCAGTGTCTTCTTAAGCCTCTCTCTGTTTTGCACTGACATTTAAAACAGGTGGCACTGCTATAAAGTTGCCAGTGACACACTGTCTTGGAACATTTTTGTTGTTAGAAATGGAGAAGTAGAATTCCTGGATTGTATGTAAATTATTGGAAGAATTTCTAGTCTGTTTTTCAAGGTGACTGAACCATTTCGCATTGCCATTAACAGTGCATAAGGGTTTTTATTTCTCTAAATCATCAACATGTTTTACTTGTATATGTTTATGTATATGTGTAGGCCCAAAGTTGACACTGAATGTCTTCCTCGATCTCTTTCCATTTTATTGAGGCAAGGCTTCTTGCTAAACCTGGAGCTCACAAATTCCAGCTAGTCTAGCTAGCCAGGCTGCCCTGGGGATCTTGTCTCTGTATTTCAAATGCTGGGATTACAGGCAGCTGCCACACCTCTCAGGTTTTTATGCAGCTCTGGAGATCTGAACACTAGTCCTCATATTTCTATAGTAAACCAGTTTTTCCACTGAGCCATCTCCCCAGCCCTATACTTTTTATTATCTAAACTTTTTATTAAAACAATCCCAGTAGTAATTAATTTGTCCCTATGTACCTTTTTCTTTTTAAAAATTTATTTCGTTTTCATTTTTATGTGTATTTATGAGTGTTTTGCCTACATGTATGCTTGTGCTAGAAACTGAACCCAGGGTCTCTGCAAGAGCAACACGTGCTGTTAACTGCTAAGCCATCTCTCCAGACACTGCTTTATTTTCTTGCTTCTCTTTTTTTATTAATCCTATATTTTATTATGTTTCTTAAAATAATTAATGAAAATAAATGACTGTAGCAGTCTACTATTTTAACTCAGCTGCTACAAGTTAAATGCTGCACTACAGAAAACCCTTCCTCTGGGCAATAATGGATATTTAGCCTTCCCAATTCTAAGAGTAATCAAAATGTTATTGCCTATTAACTACATAAAATGGATTATATTAGTGTTATTCATAGTTGAAAAATTCAATGAACAATATTTTTTTGTATGTATGTTATGGAAAGGGAAACTGCCAATGATGTGGTCAATGTGCTCAGTCTTTCCACATAGCCATATTTACTTTGAGATAAATAATTAAATATATTTAATACTAAACATAGGTTTCTCCCCCTAACTGAAATAACACAGAACCCCAACATACAAAATGAGTTTTAGGAAACTGTGTTGGCAGTGGTGAGTGACAGGTGTTCTCCCTCTACACACACCCAGGGATATGTGACTCCTCCCTCTCCGTGAACCCTACGGAAATGCTTGGCAAACCATGTCTAACTACATTCTGATCTCAATTCAAAGACTGGGCATCCTGCCACGGACATAAAAAGCTATGTAAGGGAATCCAAGAGTAATCAACGTGATTGCTAATCCTCCTTTCCCCCTCTTTTAAGATAATAGTTAGAGGTAGCACTGCTGGTATTTCATGTACTGACTTCTAGCTTTTTAAATCTAGAATTTTCTGGGTTTTGATAGCAACAAATTGATATTTCTGCTTTGTTTAATGTATCTCTCAGATTTGGCGTCACTGTCACTTTAGAACATAAGTAAATAGCAACATACCCTCCCAAAGTGTGAGAAAGTGTTGAATGTCCCCAAGTAGCTTCCTGGTCCCTAATTCAGTTTCTGAATATTCTCTTTGACTTTTCCGTATATTGTTAAAGTCAAAGAAGCTACTTGGCCCAATGCCGGGAACAGCGATCTTCATTCATGAAATGTAGATAGCCAGGGATACATCTTTGTGGGCTACCACAGTTAAGCCACACTAAACCTTAGAACTGTAGATGGCCTCATGTTTTATGACACCCACAGTCACCATTTTTAGTAGCTTTGCATATGTATTTTAGATAAGAGGTTTTGGTTTCTCTGATACCTTCTAAACAATCACAAACAGTTTGACCTGATAATTTGCCATACAGTCTTGCATACTTATGAACTTTATGATCTCATGTAGAACAGCAAGAGCTCACACTCCCCTGACATCTTTCAAAATATGCTGGAAGATTCCAGTGTAGCCACATTCTAAGACATGATTATCTATCTCTTTTAAGTTCCCCTGGAGTACAATTATGCTTTCCAAGGCTTCATGAGACTATCTTCCTTGTGAAAAGCATATTCTACAAATCAGTCTTTTCCAAGTTCCAGAAACATCTGCTGTTTCCACCTCTCCAAAAAGAAAATTTGTTCCTTTGTCATGGTCATTCACACTTGGCATCACATTCTTGAAGTATCATTTGTATTTGGTTTTACACTTCTCTTTGAATGGAAGATATGAGACAATTTTCATGGAACTCTTGCCTCGTCTTGCTTTGGGAAAATTTGTTTACTCATAGGTCCAAAAAGTAAAGCATCTTCCTTAGATAATGATTCTAGGGTCTGAGCCAGGCCTCTGAATGACAAGACACACCTTACTAAACAAGAACCCTTGGCTTAACTACTTATTCATAGGATTGTTTTTGTTATAGCCACAGAATAAGAGGAATTTCAGAATCCTACAAGGGGGCATGACTCTACAGAAAACCCCTTTAAATTTCTAAGCTGAATGGCTTGCGTATGGTCTGAAAATTCTTCATCCTTAGATTAAAAAAAATAATTTCTCTCTTCTGTGTCTACAATGATAAGAAGGGTGTTTTTTAATTCTTGAAATTCCACCATACTTTTTAAAATACCCAGGACCTAAAGAACCACTCAAGATTGACACATTCATCAGGTACATTCATAAGTCCATGATTTAGCCTTGAGTCAGATCCTACTTTTCTTTTTGTAAGTTTATTTTTAGCTTACATAATATAAGTATAAAATATAAGTATATATGAAATATAGGTATATATGACATATATAAAATAAAATGTATTAATATGGTGTTATATAATGTTTCAATACATGTATCACAAGGAGCATTCATGTACAAGTATGGGTTTGAGTCTTGATTTTTAATACATTGGGGATTATAAATGTAGGCATAGAATTGCTGAATCATCTGATGTGATGATTAATATTGTCAGGCATACCTGTGAGGAATTATTTTGGTTAGGTTAGTCTCTGGGCAGCTCTGAGGGGAATTATCTTGATTAGGTTAATTGAGGTGGAAAGATTCACCCTAAAGTAGGATGGCAGCATTCTCTAGGTTTGGATCCTGGAGTGTATAAAATGAAGAAAGCTAGCTGATCATAAACATTCACCACTGTCTGTTTCCTCATTGCAGATGTAATGTGTCCAGCTGTCTTGAGCTTCTGCTGCCATGATAAACTGTACAATGAAACTATGAGCCAAAATAAACCCTTTTGTAGCTTTTCATGAGGAAATTTTTTTTTACAGCACCAGAGTAGTAACCAGTGCAGAAAACCAGTACCAAGAAGTGAGGTTACTACTAAAATAAATTTGACCATGTGCTTCTTAGTCATTTGGAACTAGTTTGTGGGAGGAATATGGAAGAGTTAGGAAAATTAGGCTGGAAAAGCTTTCAAGTACTGTAAGCAGAGCTTAATGAGGTGTTCTGGTGAGGTTTGGGAAAACCAAAAAGCCATGAGAAGTATGAACCATGAAGGAAAGCCTCATGATGTTTCAGAGGGGAACAAGTAGTTTATAAGCAAGTGGGCTAAAAACCATTCATGTTACAGTCTGTCCAAGAATTTGTTTGCATTATGTCCATGTTCTGAGGACTTAACTAAGGTTAAATTTCATGATAATGTACTAATTTGTTTGGTGGGGGAAATTTCAAGTCAGGAGAACATTCAGATGTAATACTTGTTTTTCAGGCATGAAAGGTGCAGGGAGTGGCATCATGGAGTTTTACACCACAGTTTCTGACAGTTAGTGATGCCAAGCAATGTGTAGCAGTGTTTAAGTCCCTGCAATGAGGCCCTGAGGGGCTACCACATGAATCTCAGAAGGTGAATCTGTGGATATGTCAAGTTGTTAGAGATGCTAAGACAGGAGGACATCCACTGAGTAAGCTTGCCCAAGAAAGAGGCTGTGTATGCTACAAGTGGCAGAACTGGAGGGGTGGGGCTTATCAAGCCCCTTGGAGTCCACGTGATTCCATCATGAAACCCAAATGATTGGCAAGGAGTTATAGGATTTGATGCAAGCCTTGTTGGCTTCCAGTTTTGCTTTGTACTGATCATTCCTTTCTATGATCCCACTTTTCCATTTTTAAATGGTGACGTGTTTATTTTGTGCCATGGTGTGTTAGAAATGTGCAACTCACTTTTTAAAAGATTTTATTTTTTAATTACATGTAGAGGTGGGTACCTGTGTATGGGAATATGCACATGTAGATGCACCCACAGAGCACAGAAGATGGCATCGGATTCCCTAGAACTGGAGCTATAGGTAGCTATGAACCACTGAGGTGAGTGCTGAGAAATGAACTTGGGTCCCCTGCAACAGCAGTACATATTCTCAATTGATGAGCTATCTCTCTAGTCTGACAACTCATTTTTTGGTGTTATAGGGGCTTACACTTAAATTGCTTTGAGGAGCTGGGAAAATGGCTCAGTGGTTAAGAGCAACGACTGCTCTTGTAGAGGACCTGGACTTGACTCCCAGTACTCACATGGTGGCTAACAATGGTCCCCAACTCCAGTTCCAAG